TTGTAAAAATTGCAAGTAATGACCCAAAGGTTTGAATAATTAAATTCAAACCTATAGTTTTTTTTAATATAATTTTGGGACCACAATCCCATTTTTATATTATTTTTCTCTCTTCCTCTCACGTTGCTCGGCGTTTTCTCGCAAGGGGGGATTATTTTCTTTTTCTTCAGGTATGTTCTAACTTTCCTGTTTAGATTAGCATTTAAAAATTTATTTAATTACAAAATTAATTTTATAGTTATTTTCTAAATAATATTAGCTTTCTAGTGATATGATTATTTTGTAGGATAGAGTAAATATTCTGATTAGGATTTTTCTATATGATAGTTAATCTGATGATATGATGGATTAAAAATATAGGTTAAAACTCTTAGGGATATAATAAATATTATAAAATATTTTTTTGAGGTTGAATCTCATGTTTAAGAATTTTTGAGTTAAAATCTAGATCTATATGGTTGAATTTATGTGGAATCTGAGATGTAGGGATAAACCTATGATTATTAAATATTTATTTAAGTATGAATAGGTATTTTTGAGGTTATAGAAAGGTGATTTGAGGCTTCAGGATAATTCTAAAATTTTTAATTTATTTTTGGACGAATTTTTAGAATATAGAAGGATGAAATTGTGATACGAGAAGTGATTTAAGGATAAAAAAATAGTTTATTAGGGTACGAGAATTTTAGAAAAAGAATTTGAGAAGTTAAATGAGGCATAAATTTTAAATTAGTATTAATATGGATTATAGATCTAAGACTTTCTAATTCTTTAAATTAGAGTTATTTATTTTAATGTAAAATTAATATATAGTATTGTGAATAATTATGTAGATTATATTGACAAAGATAGTGGTGAAAAAGGAGTTGTGAAGGGGAACTTGTTATTCAAGATACAAGGTAACCATTATTAATGTGTTGTGATGAGTGTGTTTGTGAATGGTTATGTGTTAACTTGTTGTTTGGAAAAACTATGAATTATTGAAAATAAATACTGTTATATACTTGTTTGAAATTATTACCAAGTGGGTCAAAAATTTATTTTTATTTATCATGATGAGATATTATTGTTCGGATATTTGAATGATGCATGACTTGTCAGGGTATTTTAATGTATGGTGTTAATGGAAATTTCTGTTCGGTTAATTATTACCATGTGGTAAGCCCTCATTGGACCCAATGAGTGGCGTGTCGCTTGGTCCAACTCACCTTTGGCCGGATGATTTGGCGTCCGAGCATGGCGAAAGGAGGATATAAGGTGCAGTCATGCAAATTAAATATTTGTTCGGTTTGTTTGAAAATATTGTTCGGTTAAATGTTTTGTGTGCCCACTTAGCAATCGCATGATTAGTTACAACCGCATGCATCATTACATATTAATTTTTGGTTACTGGGACTTTTAAGTCTCATTCCCCGTGGTTAATATTTTTACAGGAGCGAGTCCGGCCAAGAAAGCACCAGAGGTATAACTATGGTGTATGAAACACCATCTTTTACGTTGCCTCTTATTTTGGATTATACAATGTATCTTGTGCCAACTTAGGGCATATCTTCTTTATGAAGCATGTAAACTCTAATCCTTTTTCTTAAAAGTATTTATTTGACCAAGAGGATTATGTTTGTCCCTCTTGATTCATGACCTAATTTAAATATCATGCCATGAGGATCCTGTCTGTCCCTTATGGTTCTAATTGTTTTTTGAGATATTTTAAGACCTGTGGTATATTGTCTTGGATATATCATGGTAAGAAAATTTTCTACCATGATAATGGTTTTAATAATTTGCGAAAAATCAGTTTGTATTTTTGAGGGTGTTACAATAGTATCATATTGGACGGTTCATAATCGTTCAATATAGGCAAAAATAACCGTTCAATATTTTTTTTTAAGTAGTGCTTGTTTGTTAATAATAATAAGAGACCATGACCACCAAAACAAAAATGTCTGAATGTAACACACCAAATTTTTTTTTAAATAATTTAATTCAACCATAGTTAGGTTACAGCTACCCAACACATTCTTATATCAATAATTTTAATATAAAATATTTTATAATTGGTTTCAACTCACACACTATAACATTTCAGATAAATTTTTACCTCCCACATGCCATTAGGCTAAATCACATTTGTCCATCCTTATACTCCCAACAAGTAAACTAAATCACATTTGTCCATCCTTATACTCCCAACAAGTAAAATAAGCAATTTAGTGAATTTTCAACACAAGCCAGTTATTTGGCCTTATAATCATGCCATTTTAACCAATCCAAAGCAAATCAAATATTAAAATTACAGTCATCTAAATTATACCAAAAATAGAAATAGTTTGAAAGGCATGATTACACTTATATATTCATATAATTGTCAATAAACAAAAGTCCTAATATTGGCAATATAATACATTATAAATCATAAATCAAATACCCAAAAGAGACAGTGGATCTATGCCACTAAGCCTCTGGGACTCCTCCACGTGTCACTCGTGGCTCTTCTCCTGAAAATTGTTAACCACATAATGAGACTCAAAAGTCCCACTAATTAAAGCCAATTTATGATAGTGTATACAAACAGTTAAATGTATGCTTACTAAGTGAGAATTAAAAATAATATAATTCCAACAAAATATAAGAAATATTATAATATACACAAATATCCATCCTTATATCCCTCCATTAACCTCGAGTTGTAGCCCTCACTCGGTGCTAAATTACCCGGCCAAAGGTAGATTAGCCCGAACCCTTACAAACCACCTATTGAGCTCCAATAGGGGCATACCACATGGCACATAAATACAACAACAATAGCAAGTCTCCTAACACCTCCCACAATAATCAAATAAATTCATAATAATATTGCACAATTATATAATATTACAAAATTTATAATTTTCTCAATAATCACCTAATTAACATGAAGTAACACAAATCACAAATTAAAACATGGTTACCTTGTGGCTTTTTCAATAAATTATTCCTTAAAATTTCTCTCTCATCACAATCTTCACCAGTAATACAATCTACAAATAACATAATATTTATATATATTAGTTTCAATTTTTGAAACTAATAAAATAATTCTAATAATAGAATTAAAAATATAACATAATTCATAATCTCAATCTTAATACAAATCTATAGTTAATACTATTAAGTAAAATTTTTAAATCCTCTTTTAATTATCAATAAACATTAATAATCTAAAAATCAACTTCTAAACTAATTTCTATCATCAAAATTTTTTTTTTATTTAATAAATTCGTATCTAAAATACCCAAAGAGTCTCTAGCTTAGAATCATAATCCTATAACCATAATAATTCATTTCTCATCTCAAATAATCATTTAAACCTCAATAAATCAACATATATTTTCAGATCTAGTTTAGAATTTGATCCATAAGCCACAAATTCAAAGATCATCAACAAATTTATACTCTAGAACATTATTATACTACTGACAACCTCAAAAATCATATTTATTCAACATAAATTCATCTCTCTTTCAGATCCTAAATTTTTTACCACTACAAAATCAGAAACCAAAGAGGAAGGATGACTAAGAAAATTTTTTAGAACACTTACTTAGTCTTGAAAAGCTTAAAATCACACCCTAAATATCCTATTAAAAACTCTTACCTTAAAAACTCAGATCTCAAGCACCGGCGACTCACGCTCACTCTTCCTTAGCTCGCGCACGAAGGAAAGAATGAAGAAATGAAGGAAACGGGTGAGTTTTTATAAAAATTCAGTGGATCCCACATCTTTTTTTATTATTTCTTCTTTTCTCTTTCTCCTTTTTTTTATTATTGTATACATAATCATTGCACCGAAAGCGCTCACGTTTTCTTCCTTCTTTTCTTCCTCTTTCTTATACCTTTTCTCTTTCTTTCTTTTTATAATAATAATAATAATTTAATAATATTTTATTTATTTATTTTTAATTAATTAATTTTTTTTTTTTTTATTTTAATTTAGAATTATATCCTAAATTAGATTTAATAATCATTTTCTACTAATTTACTTACCTCTAAATATTTTTCAAATTTCTATTAACCCAAATTAACTATTAAAATTTAAATTGGGATGTTACAGTGAGAGAGAGAGGGATGGACACAATAAGATGGTTGATACTTATATGTGAAAATTAATTATGAACTTAAAATTATAATTTTTTTAAAAATATTCAAACAATTATGTAGACAAAATTGATTATAAATTTAAAATTATAATTTTCTTAAAAATATTTAAATATATTTATATATATCAAAATTAATTATGAATTCAAAAGTATAATTCGTAAAATAGTTTTTAGATAAATTTTTGAAAATGTATAATTAAAAAGTTAAATTAAAAATCAGAGTAATAGTAGGTTATGGCATACTTATAGTTTTAAATTCATAATTAATTTTGGCATATATAATAAAACCATAATTTTGAGTTTATAATTAATTTTTTTATATATAATAGGTATTTTAATATTTTAAAGAAAATATTATTTTAGATTTATAATTAATTTTAACATGTATTTGAATATAAACCATAATTTTGCAGGATTTTCAATTTCGCTTTCCAATTTTGTCTTTCAATTTTGATTAAAACCAATCTTATTAATTAATTTTATAAATTAATTATATATATATAACATAATTGTGTTAATCAAATTTTTTAATAATGAATTTTTTCTAATAAAAATCCAAATGAATCCAAAGGTATTTAGATAATTTAAAAAAAATCATAATTTTAAATTTATAATTAATTTTGTTATACATAATAAGTGTTTATATATTAAAAAAATATAATTTTTAATTCATAATTAATTTTAACATGTAAATAAATATTTAAATATATTTTTACAAAACTATAACTTTAGTCTTTAAAATTGATTAATTTGGATACCCAAACAGGCAGTAAGCTGAAAAGAACCGAGAATTAGGGCAAAAAACGACGTCGTTATCAAGCGAGTTAAATTGAACGGAGCACACTGTGGCTGCCATTTGTTTGCACTCTGCACTGGATCTGTGCCCCCACGTGGAGTACAAACGCCCAAACCTAAACCGAAGTGGGGAGCGATGCCCCATCACTGCAATCTGCAATCATATGCCTTCCTTTCCTTCAATTCTTCCGTTCTTGCTCTTCGCTTCACTCTTCTCAGTTTCACTCTCTGACCCTTCCTCCACCCTCCGAAGCTCGCGACTCGCAGTGCCATATGGAGACATGTCGAGGGTTTCCTTAGCTTTCTTTTTTACTCTCTCAAACGGTGCTTAATCGCTTCCATTGTAAGGTACGGCTTCTTCCTCTTCTTTTTTGCGTCTCCGCTTCTTTATTTTCTCTTCTGCATAACGTTTAGTTATCTTGCTCGGTTTTTCATTTTATGATTCATGGATTCCGAGGATCGAGTTCTTTTCTGCGGATTAGGATTTTCGTGGGGGATTGCTGTCATCCTTCCACTGTTTTGATTTTTACGTTTAGAATTCTCTTCTTCTTCTTCTTCTTCTTCTTCTTTAATTTGGATTCAATTAGATTGTAGAATTCAATTGATGGTTGTTTGTTTCGTTTGCGGACCTAATATTTGGCAAGACTTCTGAAGCAGCGGTTGCGATGTAGGTTGAAGAGGTTGAACTTCGAAGGAATATTTTTCTCTATTTTCTATTTGGGAGAGTAAGGGCCATGAAAGAAAAATATTTACCGGTGTGTCCTAAAAAAATCTGCAAATTTGCAGCAGGATTTTTGGATTGAACTGAGATAAAATGGGTGGCTGAAAATATGCATTTAGGATAAAATGATTGAATTAGTATGATTATTTTAAGTTATGTAATTTGCTTGCAACTCATATTGATAAATTAACAAGTGAAAGTTAGATAATTAACAACTTATATTAATATGATTATTGAGAGGTAAAGTCAGTTAATTTATAAATTGGTAAATTAACAATTGAAGTAAAAAAGTAAACAACTAATCATGATGCTTTTTGATCAAATTTAGTAAACGAGCTTTGTAAAGGATTCACAAGTCTGACAAGTTATGTTGACAAATTAATAAGTAATGTACTTAAAATCATAGAATTACAGAATTAACTAGTTAACCATTTAATAAGTAATATTAAGGAATTAACAAGTACAAGTAAGAAATTAATAAGTAAAGTTGGGTAGTAATCAAATACTTGTTAATTTTGTAGCACCCATTTTATTTCAGTTTAGTCTAGAAATCTTGCAAATTTTCAGAATTTTTGAGACCCACGGGTAATTATTTCTCTTCCATGGTCCTTAATTGGAATTCTTTTTTTATTTCTTCTTTGCGGCCGAGGGTGGGAGTTCAAGTTTGAACTTCTTGTACCTAGTTCTTTTCATCTATTAGGCTTTGCTTGATGCGCCATAAGGGTAGATAAGACAACTAATAGAATCGATTTTCATTCTGTGTCAGTGTGCGCAATATATTCTGTAAACGGTTAACTTCGAACATTTTATCTGCATATTATCGTGTAACTCCATCCACCTAAGAAGGGCAAGAGAGGGTTGAGACATGATGAGAAATCCTGCATAACTTTGTTCAATAAAATTATTTTTTATCGTTATTCATTATCGTTGCTACCATTTCTGTTATATTGCCAGTAGCACACATCCCTTGGCAGTTGCTGCCACCACTAATTCTATTGCCACCTTTGCCTCCATCATCACTCCCATTACCATTATTGTCACGTTACTACCAACTCTACGGCTGCCATGCCAGTGCATTGTTCACCGCCACTGCTGCTACTATGTTATTACCAAAGCAACCACAATTATGATGGACTGTTTGCATCTTATTCATTTTTCCCTGTTTTACTAATATAAAATTGTTTCATAAGTACTGTTTGGGTGCCAAATTTCGTTTGTCTTTATTGCTAAGATGCAATTTCAATTGTAACTTAGCAGTTTTGAGTCATTTTGTATGCTAAGGATATGATTCATATTTCTCACTGATAACCTAAATGAGATATGGGGTTAGGTGGTTGTACTTCATCAACTTGTTGATGTTATGTGATGCGTGCTCAATACCTTACACACAGTCCAACCACTTCCTAGAATGATCCCTGAATTCCAGTTTTTTTCATGAACCATTTTTGTGATGCATAGAGATTTGATGCTGGAGATATGATATTATCCTAGTTAAATGTGTTTATGGGCAAACCCATAATTATCTATCACCATGTGTCATTGTTAATTATGATGCATCGGGCTTCATTATCAGAAGTTTCTCATAAAATACTGTAATTTTTTTTTTCTTTTTGTCTTCTTGGTGGAACCATTAACAAATCTGTTTATACAATGTGTTACATAACAGTCTGAAGGTGAAGCTATTGTTTTGGCGAATGCTATGTCACTCTTTTCTTTTAGGTGTAACTTTATATGCATATTTCCCTATTGCAAATGTTTCAGGTTTGATGTTTGGGGACCTCAGTTGTCTATCATTAATGATTGTGTTGAGGTCCAAATAATGCCGTCTGCTTTGTTTTTGTGATCAGGATGTGGAACTTCGCATCAAGTTGTATTGCTGGGAGTGTGAAACTGAAAAATGATTCTCTAAAGCCAACTCACTCTGTTTCAGAATGCTCTGATGATGAGACGTCTTCTGTTGTGAGCAGAGATGAAGGGCTCGAATGCCCCATTTGCTGGGAATCTTTTAATATTGTTGAAAATGTGCCCTATGTTTTATGGTGTGGCCACACCCTTTGTAAAAACTGCATCCTAGGATTGCAATGGGCCGTTGTGAAATTTCCAACTCTGCCCGTTCAACTTCCCCTTTTTATCTCATGCCCATGGTGCAACCTTTTATCTTTCCGTTTGGTTTACCGGGGAAATCTCAGATTTCCTCGCAAGAACTACTTCCTTCTTTGGATGGTTGAGGGCATGAATGGTGATAGAATGAAATCACATTCATCTTTCTGTGGGGATCATCAATCACACTGGCCAGTTAAAGACCATTTAACAGCAGGACAACTAATCCGTGGGAACCCTCGGAGGGGACAACTTGTTCGCCATCCAGATCCATCACGTTCAAATCAACATCAAAATGATGCTGGTAGTTTTCTCAGTTTGGAAAGATTACATACTTCTCTTCGGAAGTCACTGGTTTTCTTTGTACACTTGACTGCTAAGTTCCCACTGATCATTATATTTCTTCTTATCGTCTTGTATGCAATACCAGCCAGTGCAGCCATTTTGGCTCTGTATATACTTGTTACAGTTCTGTTTGCTCTCCCATCATTCCTCATCCTGTACTTCGCATATCCTAGTCTGGATTGGCTTGTCAGGGAAATCATCACATGAGATTGCGAGGTGATATATCTGCAATCATTATGAATAGAAGTCTGCCTCACCTAATTGCCGTCTTGATCCTAGATCTTCTGCTTTGTAATTTGCCGACTTTACCTTTATCAAGCTGCTTTATTTCTCTCTGCATACACCATACAGTCCCACTCAATTTCAGGTGACTTTCACGGCCTCTTTTTGGAGCTCTGGTGGAGCTTCACCGGGTGTCGTCTTTCCCATTTTTAGCCTTAGAGGTATTGATGTTTATTCAAGGCCCTGGAGGGATTGTGGTGATGAATGGATGATTGGTTGATTGTACCTTTTCCTGGCTGTAAGTGTTGTGCTTTATCTTTTGTTTTTTTAATCAATATTTTACTGAAGAACACATCTGATATAGTTTGTGCAGTCTTGAAAAGTTCCTGTGATGTGTAACCCATTTGGTACTATAGTTCTATTATTTGAAATATAGTTATATAGAATTGATTGGGGCACTTGATGTTGTTGAAGTTCATAAATATTCGTTATCAAATTTTCTTGTAAAAATCACATGGACAAAATTGTTGGAAAAATATCCGGTCACATAATGTTTTTTCTAGTAATTTTACTTGCATTAGTAATTTCATGCCAGTGAGAAGTTCTCGCCCATCTTATTTTCGAGTATCCATAAAGACACAAGGTTACGTGAGGAGCTGAGGATGATTTATGGAAGATATTCCCAACTTCAGGTAGAGCGGACAAATTGCAACGGACAAATAATTTCTGACGCGAGTAAATATTTTGTTTTCAAGTGATTTTGGATCAAGTAAAAATGGCAAAGAAACAAAAGTAAGATGTTGAAATTTGGGACAAATGCTGCATGCTAGTCATCTTGGAGGGACGATTTTGATTTCCTAATATTAAACGAGAATGTGAATATTATACACCATATTGTTATTGTATATAGAATTTGAGACGAGCTATACTCGTTATTTATGATTTGTTAATTGCATAGCTTTCACTGAACTTTGTGCGCGCTTTCTATGAAACTTTGTGCACGGCAAAGATTGCAATTTGTAATCGTTTGCAGTGCAATCTGTCTCAAATCTCAACGGAATATTCTGTGGAACCTTATTCTATCAAAGCAAACGTTAATTTCCTCCACTTACCTTTTCATCCCCCAACAGCGAACCTCGTACAAGAATTTTGGTAAAGATCAGAATTCCAGCGTTAAGGGGAAGTTGTCTCCTTCAGTGGGCTAATTGAAGAAGTGATTGACAGCAAAAGGTGGTGTTGAAGAGGCTGAATCTTCATTCCTGAATCCTATGATTCAGAATTCGAACGCATACATTTGACTTTCCATCTATTATGGTCAAAATACGGGAAAGGTAACAACGGTTCCGCTCAAATCTCGTTCCTTGGTCCATCGAATCTTCTACTCCCCCATTCTAGCTTTGCCCAGACGTCACACAAGTTGATTGTTTCATACTTTCATTTCACCTCTGATGAATCATTTCTTTTTCCATTTATTTGTCCCGCTGAAAAGAAAATCAGCAGCCTTCTAGATGTCGTCGCGGCTTATAGTTCTAGAGCTGTGACCTAACAAGGAGAAAATAATAGACACATTCCTAATTTGCAATTACTCATAATATAGTAGTACTTTATAAATATATAAATATAAACTCATTTTTTTATTTTCCCCCCTCTGCTCAGGCACCACATATATTCTTGCTCTTCGGAATGGATAGAATCAAAATTCTTTCACCTTGCTTATTTGAGAATGAATGAATATATATATATATATATATATATGAAAGTTGTATGGCATCTTACGTGACCCAATCTAACCTTTTTGTATACCAAAATACTTGAATGGGAACAAGAAGGTTGATTTATTACTTACTATGTAAGTTTTCTTAGAATCTAAGAAACAATTTTCCATTGTTGGATGGCCACCCTCATTGACTTGAGTTCTCCCACCTACTCAGTTTCCTGATTTCGGGTATTTCGTAATTGTCATTTTCCACTTTCATCATCCAGTTTAATTCGATTAAATTTCCACACCGCCCCTTGCGCCTCTAACATTAAAAACTACATTATTAAAAAAGAGCATTAATTCCTTTTTTTTTTTTGGCACTGAAAAGAGCATTCTAGATCTTTTGCTTGAAGATCGAGAGAGAATCCAAGGAGATTACTTACTTTTAAAAATATAAGGTATTTTTAATTGAATTTCATCTCTCAATAAAGTAGTTACCTACTTTTTAATTAATCCTATCTTTTTATATTTACCTTTATTAAATATTCTATAATAAAAATAAAGTTATTCATCAATAGGGACACTTCTTCTTTTTTAAAAAAAAATAATGATTATACTTAAAAGATTAAAATTTTTTTATATTTTTTAACATCCAACTCTTTAAAAAATATTTTTTTATTTTTGAGAGCATATATTAATATTATTGTTCATCCAGCTCTCCTTCCTCCCTCTCTCTCCATGTGTATAAATTTTGTCTAGTCTCCTTGACTGCTCCATCCACAATTTTGTTTGATGCTTGAAGGCATGCGAGCTCGATTTATCGTGCATTCAATTTTTTAATTTGCATTATTGTCTTTTAAATTATGATGAAGTATATGTGTTGATGCTTGTGCTATCCAGCTTAGTTACAATGACATTAATAAATTAAAAGGTGAATTTACCCGGCATCACATCATGTATTATATTAAATCTGAAAAATAATTTATAATTATCTACCGGTTATCTATGGTATGACTTGTTATATAATTTATATCTTATGTTAATATCAATGAATTGCCATGAAGGCCATCCCACTGAGCATGTCTAAAAGACATTCAATTATTAAAAAACTAATTAATTCATTGTATAGAAAGTACACAACTGCGGTCTGCCAATGTTTCGTTTGCTTGTATTTATTTGTCTTTTTAACATGAACTTCAGTCCTTGTTTAATTTGCAGCATGTGTGTAAAATTGCAATAAAATAATTCAAAAATTGATCAAGAGTATGTTAAATTTTACATTAAAATCACTAAAATTATGATCTTGATATAAACAAGTAATTATAACCTTTTAAATAGCATTTAGAATTTTCAAGGGATTAATCTCAAAACTGTGGAGATACGTTGGGGAAAAAACTAATTGTGTGCTTTTATAATTTTAGTGATTTCGAACAAGAAACTAAACACACGTTCAAACGTTTTGGTTCTATAAGAAAAGAACGTGGAATTCGATGAATGACATTGACGACGAGGGCCACGAGTCACTCGGACGCTGCTGGTGATTGTGGGAATAGAATATTCTTTGAAACTCCAGAAAAAGACAATTAGATCTAACAACTAATAAACAAAGGTTAACTAATCTAGGTTTAAGAGATAACCCTAAAAAATTAGTAATGGCATAACGTGACCGACACAATCTGAGTCTGCCTCGTTAACCTTAAATTATTGTCACCTACTGCATCTGCTTGCTTGAATATTTAAATGTAGTGCCGCAAAATTTATCTTTATTCTCAACTGCTCTTCCTCTCTTAATTAGTCAAAACACTTCTTTACTGCTAGTACTATTTCTTCGGAATTGATGTATTTAGAGTTTTAATTACATGTGAAATTTATTTAATAGTAAAGATTTGATGCCTGACCCAAAAAAAGAAAAAAATTGACGCCAACTCAGTACTACTCCGCGTTAAAAATTTAAAATGGCTACAAAACTTGGAAAAATATCTGAATGATTTCCTTGAGAATCTTCCAAATGTTTAATTAAATAAAGTACTGCAAAATTGTGATTAACTGGGAGCGGTAAATGAATATTTGTAAACTTGTAATGACCTGTTATCGTCTTTTTACTGAATTCTTCCGAATCAATGGGCTAGGTAAGCCATGTCTTTTCTATTTTTTTTTCTACTTTGTCAGTTTGGAATTTGTCAACCTACTAATTGTCATTATTAGTTATTTTTTAAAAATTATTTATTTTGCTTAGTTTTTATTTTCTTTTGCTTTTTTTTTTTCGTACAATTATATATGCTAGTACCATACTGGCTGGTCCTTTGTTTTGTTCAAATCATGTTATCCCCTCAAATATACTCCTTCATGAATCTCATTAAATATATTTAACAGTTTTAATTTTTTAAAATAAAAATATAAATTTTTTAAAATATTCATAGAAAAATAATAAAAATTAATTATAGAGGGAGAAAAATAATATTAAAATTAGATCATTTAATGAAACTTTAATGTACTCAAAATCTCATATATTTTAAAATAAAAAAATTATTTTAAAAATATTTTATAATTTAAGATGGAGGGTGTATTATTTATACTATTTTTGTAAATGCTATAGTGAAGATATTAACAGGCCAAAAAAATAATGAAGATATTATAATAATCTTTTTACCTCGAACCAGGGTCAATGGATTATCATTTGGTGTACTTTAATACGATGATGAGAATTGAGAGCCATTTGAAAATAAAGAATCATGTGCATGACGATTTGAAAGGCGCATAATATTGAATTTTATAGATTGAATGATGAATCGCAAACACAAATAAATGAATATAAAATAATTAATTTCCTTAATTATCAAAAGCGCGAATTTCATAGCAATAAAAGTTTTTCTTATTGTATATTAATTATGTTTTAGAAAACGATTTTCATCCATCCCCTAAAGTCCAGATGACCAAATTCACCAATTAAATTTTCTTGGCGAGAAAAGAAAATCAATAATTTGCGCAATAAATTCGACTATTTTTCATTTCTTCTCTTTACATTTCCTTGATTTATCGTCTTCATTCTCTTCATCCCTCTCTTTGGATTCAATAACAAATAAGGCAGAGTTCGAATTGACTCCATTTACACCATAAATTGATAAAACGCAGACTTTGTAAGGGTAGCCGAGGAAAGAACGAAGAAGGCACTAGACACAGTTGCTTTCAGTCTTCAACTTTCTCTTCTATCTATCTATCTGACCCAATCCTTCACAGAAAACCAAGCGTTAAAAGCTGTGTTATTCTGTTTCTTCCTCGGTTTCTGATTATACAGGCTTTCTATGAACTGTGACTATTAAAAGGTATACTATTTTTACCCCTCGATATCCGAAATTAACAACTATGAAAACCATTTTCACTACAACTATTTCCTGGGTTCCTCTTTCTCTCTGCGATATTCAAATGGGCTGGCGGTAAATTGTAATTTTGCTTATGTTCTCGTTTTCGTTGGGTGGTCCAATTTTGCCGCTATTAAGATTGGATTGTCATATTCATTAAGTTTCATTTCTGTTGTACCTGTATGGGTTCATTGGGAGTGTTTTCTGGTTCTCGTGTTCCTTGAGTTTCATTTCTGTTGCGCCGGTTTGGTTTCTTTAGGTGTGTTTCATATGTATCCGTTTGTTTGTTCTTTTCTTGGATTGAAGTTGTCTTCTGAGATGGTTATTACTTGATTATTGCGCTTGTAGCTGTTATGATGGTGTGGTTTTGTGCAGAATACGGATTTCCATTATTTTCTTATCATGGCATGGTAGTATTCTCATTTCTTCTGCTTTAATTCCGATGTAATGATTTTTTTCTACACCCTTGTTTTGTGTTATTTGAATGTTCTGTAGCATTTGATTTCCTCTCATCAAGAAGCTGGTAGTCTTTATTATTATTATTATTATTTTTGGCCAAGTAGAAGCTGGTAATCTGCTAGACTTTAATTGACATATTACAAATCAAATTTTTCACATTTCTACTTCATTTATTTCATCTGATTATCTATTACCTGATCTTTGGATTCTTTGTGCCTTTCTTTCTATCAAGGGTTGGTTAAAAGATTAGAAATGAACAATCATGATTCACATGGTGCTGTCACAGGCGTCTGCAAAACATAAGATTGTTGTTTCTTGTAGCATGTAATTATTATTGTGAAACTAGATAATTTGATGGAGGACGTCCTTTTTTTTTTAATAAGCGCTGGGGGGCGTTCTTTATTGTTCCTTTGGATGTTCCTGATTTCATTCCTTTTATATTTTTTGTGGCCTTATTACCTGTTCTAGTTGCATGAGTGCTTTCATGTGAGAATGATTAAACAAGGCGGGAAAGTGAAGAAATTCTCATGATGCCATATTTCATATGGATGATAGCTTGCAAGAGTTTCCTGTAGTTCTTTCCGCAGCATTTTGTGCTGAGTTAGTATTTAAACTTTTCTACCATAAGAGACACCGATCTTAAGACTCAAATCACGAGATAATTGATTATTATGCTCAAGATTCGAACATCGTTTCCCCTAAATCGAGAAAACTTTGATATTTCCTTTCTTTTTGTCTTTACTATTTGAATCCGTCAATTACCTAATTTTCTATCCTGTATCATTCCTTCACTCCGTTTAAAATTTTTCTGTTTTTGAGTTTCAGGATTGTTTGCCCTAAATCTTTACCTGCCATCTGATGGCTGAGGAGAGTGCTGATTTACTAGTAGCTCAAGAAGTAATTGATTCATCTGCGGTTAAATTAAGAAGGAACTCCATTGCTAAAGCTATTTCTGGAAACATTGAAGATGTAGTTATTCCTCGTTATCGCAGAGCTTCCATTGGCTCTTGTCATGATTTTTGTAAATATGGCTGGAAGCATGCTTTTGAAGTGAAGGAAAAACATTTTGTGGCCAGCAGAGTTCAAAGATTACCACTTGATCAAAGTTCTGAGGCCGATGTCAATGGGGCAAAGACGTATGTAACCGACCGTAGAGCATCCATTGGTTCCAAGCCACCAACGAAGGCATCAGTGGTGAATCTCAGAGGATCAGTTAATTCTGAGCCCAAGATTTCCAATACCTTTGACACCAACGAGAGGGAAATGCCAACAAAATTACCTGAGAGCCAGAAACAAGGAAGGAATGAAGTTCCATTAACAAGGAAGAGAACATCAGCGGTCAAGTTGAAAACAATAATTCATAAAAAATCCCATTCAGCCGATCTTCCCAAAATTATCAGACAAGGGAACTCATCAATTTCTGCAAAGCTGGTAGGAACTTCATTAAGACCGGCTTCAGAGCCAGTAGAATCTTCATCAAAACCAGTGAGAAATTCATCAGAATCAATTGTGCAGCCTGTAGAAACTTCAAAATTAGTAGCAGAGCAGCCGGTAGAAGCCTCTTTAAAATCATCTATTGAACCATTGGACACTTCCTTAGAATCGATTATGGATCCGGTGGGAGTTTCATCAATATCAATTGTGGAGCCAATGGAGATTTCATCAAAATCAACTCCAGAGCTGATGGAAACTTCATCAAAATTAATTGGGGAACTGGTGGAAACTTCTTCAGTATTAACTGTGGAGCCAATGGTGACTTCGTCAGAATCAATTATGGAGCCAGTGGGAACTTCATCAATATTAACTGTGGAACCAATGGTGACTTCATCAGAATCAATTATGGAGCCCGTGGGAACTTCAGGAATATTAGCTCTGGAACCCATGGCAACTTCATCAGAATCAATTATGGAGCCAGGGGGAACTTCATCAATATTAACTATGGAGCCAATGGGAACTTCATCAGCACTAACTGTGGAGCCAATGGTGACTTCATCAGATTCGGTTATGGAGCCACTGGGAACTTCATCAATATCGAGTGTGAAGCTTGTGGGAAGTTCATCAAAATCATGCGGGGAGTTTGTGGAGATTGCATCAAAACCAACTGCAGAGCCAGTGGAAGCTTTGTCAAAATCAGTTGCTCAGAAGGAGGATGCTTCATCAAAATCAACCGTTAAGAAGGCAGGAGCTTCGTCAAAATCAACTCCTAAGAAGGCAGGAACTTCATCAAAATCAACTCCTAAGAAGGCAGGAGCTTCATCAAAATCAACTCCTAATAAGGCAGGAGCTTCGCCAAAGTCACCTGCTAAGAAGGTGGAAGCTTCACCAAAGTCACCTGCTAAGAAGTTGGAAGCTTCATCAAAATCAATTAAGAAGTTGGAAGCTGCATCAAAATCAACTGCTAAGAAGGTGGAAACTTCATCAAAATCAACTGCTATGAAGGAGGAAACATCAATGAAATCAACTGCTAAAGTGGTAACATCAACGAAATCAATTGCTAAAGTGGTAACATCATCAAAGTCAACTGCTAAGGTCGGAATTTCATCAAAATCAATTGTCAAGAAGGCAGTGACATCCCCAAAATCAACTGTTAAGAATGTTGAAGCTTCGTCAACATCAAATTCCATGGCAGGAACTTCATCAAAACCAACCCCTTTAAAAGCCAGACAAATGAAATTACCTGGAAAGCATGTGGCTTCTTTGAAGCCAAACTCTATCACAACAAATTTCGTATCTTCTATGAATCCTTCCGAAGGTTCTAGTGGCCAAAGCAACAGTAAGCTCAAGATGGAAAAGCATGCAGCCTCCTTGAAAGTAGCTGCAAGAAAATTGACGACTCCTTCTAGTGCTTTATTGCCCTCCAAATCCTCTCTTACTAGTCGAGTTGTAAGTGTTAATGCTAGAAAGCACAAGAGCCTCAAAATTGCATCTCATCTAAAGAATCAATTGAAGACCAGAAAATATGAACACAAGGAACCTGGCAATGATGAGGTTGAGGAAAAGACTTTGTATGTCATCAAGATGGAAGGTGGAAACAAAAGTTTGCAGACAGATCGAGATGCAGTTTACGGTGTTGACTTTTCCACTCAGTCAACATCACCCCCAAAATTTTCATCCTCATTCCAAGAAGATAAAGAGGAATCTGAATATACAACTAGTGAAGGCAAAGAGGATACTTCTTTTGTAAACCTTGACAGTGAACTCATGAAAAATGGAGAGCCTTTGGAAGCGAAGGATATAGGCAAGCCCCAAAAGGTTGGGATTGTATCTTCTGAGGACAAGGGTAGCCAAATATCAGCAATAAATTTCAGAAGGGGAAAATTGGTTGAACTTCAATCTGAGATAACCTCTCCAAGGAGGCTTAAATTTCGGAGAGCAACAGGATTGGGTGAGAATGCAATGGTCAAGTCTGAAAGCCTAAGGAGAAGTTTTAAAAGAAGATATGAGAATGGTATTGATAGAATGGGCACTCAAACTGGTCCAGAGAAGGTTGTTTTGAGACGTCAAGGTTCACGAGGCAAGCGAGATGCGCACGAATTGTTCAATAATGTAATTGAAGAGACTGCGAATAAGCTGGCTGAAATTCGGAAGAGCAAGGTTAAGGCATTGGTTGGTGCCTTTGAAACTATAATCTCTCTCCAAGAGAGAAAGCCTGTTGTAAAGACTATCGGTTGATTGTGATAAACAGTTTCTAACTTGTCATGTAAAGAAGTGAGAAAAATAAACCTAAGCTTTGTGATGGCACAGCACAGTTAACGGCTTTTGCCAATGAGATTTGCCTTTGGTTTTGTACAGAAGCTCTGAATATAAAGTTGACTCATTTGCAGTTCGTCTTAATCTGCATCAGATACATTCCTGGAGAAATGGAGGATATAGATGCGTAGTTAATAATAGGTGTGATTTGACAAAAATTAGATGCTGTCACGGAGAGTATGTAATCATGCATCAACATAATTTGGCGCCAAACTACAGGGAAGATGTGTTTCTCTCTCCAACAGTCTTTGCTTGATGCTCTCTCTGTCTGGGTTTTTACCTGCAGACCAGAGGAACGGATCCGGATCCGGATCCTCCCAGCGGCCAAATCCTCAGCATCCCTCGACATCCAAATCTGAAATCTCATCCCTCCAAATAATCAAAATCTAATGACTATTAAAAATATGTATAAATAATTTATTTTTAAATAGTAAAAAAAGATATTTTGAAATATTATTGATGTAAAACAAGAAGAAGAGAGGAAAGAAAGATAAAGAGAAAGGAGGAGAGTAAAAAGAGGATGGGGAAGGCCGAAATTTTTAAAAACTCTTATTCAATAATACTTAAAATTGAATACAAATAAAATTAAACTCTATTATAGAGATCTAAAAATAATAAAATAATAATAATTTAAATTTAAATATCATATCCTAAATTTAAATTAAATATTAAAGATACTGATATCTAAGATCATAATAGATATATAATTAAAGTTAATCTAATAGATTAATATCCTTATTTAAATATTCTTATTGGATAATTCTAATATCATTATATTTTATCTCATATTACACCATTTCTCCTTTACTTGAAGAACTGGTCCTGATGAGTTAAAATTAAGGCACAAATCCAAGAAGGAAGGGTAGGATAAATTTTAGTGGAATGCTCGAATTGAAAACCCTTTCTAACATGTGAGATATTGAAAAAGCAAGCTCTGGTATGAGCAAGCAACTTGATGTAGGTGAGTATCTAAGAATCCATTCCAATAAGTTAGGTAGCAAAAAAAAAAAAACAAACTTTGGCAAGAGTGAGTAGTTCGACCATACAGAATCTCTAAAAAACTTTTCTAATAGACAGAGTATTGCTGGATTTGACCATTAAGCAATGAAGTGACCTAGGAAGATGTAGCTTGTAGACAAGGAATAGCTATAGCATGATGAGATTACTCCTTATTAGAAACAATTTAAGAAGGAGCCACTTGTACTTGTGTATAATGAATAACTTGATAATTGTTTGGAGAATCTTCAACTAGTAAGGAAGGGCTTTTGCCATTGGTGTGGGTCGCTTGATGCTTGTTTCTTCCATTTGTTTCCTTCCTCAATTTGTTGATCATCCTCTAATCTCATATGTTTTTTTTCTTAACTTTCACCACAATCTTCCTAAGCTTCTCAAAATAACAACTTGTTCTTGCTAAAAAGCGATCTAATTTAACTAATTTGGTCTATGTCCTCCTGAAGTTAGCATGGCAATGGTACCATCCTCATATTGATAAACACAATCATGTTTAATGGCTATTAAGATGCTCATATTGTCATTGCTCAACATACTCATGTTGGCATTAGCCTTCATGCTCATATTGCTTATGATTAGCATACTCAACTGGAGATAACGACGATCATAATTGTCACAATAAGTATGCTTATAGACTGTTGATGGCTTGTGTACTTATATTGTTTGCTTTTCATAACCATACCAATAGCTCTTTTGGCCAATAAGTATCTTGTAAAGGATAGGCATACCATTGTTGATATTCATTATATGTC